CAGCATTTGAGAGAGAGAGATATATGGAGAGAGTAGACTATTGATAAGCATTCGAGAGAGATATATGGAGAGAGTAGACTATTGATAAGCATTAGAGAGAGAGATATATATATAGAGAGATTAGACTATTGATAAGCATTAGAGAGAGAGATATATGGAGAGATTAGACTATTGATGAGCAATAGAGAGAGAGATATGGAGAGAGTAGACTATTGATAGCATCAGAGAGAGATATGGAGAGAGTAGACTATTGATAAGCATCAGAGAGAGATATGGAGAGAGTAGACTATTGATAATCATTAGAGAGGAAGAGAGATATACGAAGAGAGTAAACTATTGATAAGCATTAGAGAGAGATATATGAAGAGAGTAAACTATTGATCAGCATTGAGAGAGAGATATATATATGGAGAGAGTAGACTATTGATCAGCATTAGAGAGAGATATAAATATGGAGAGAGTAGACTATTGATAAGCATTAGAGAGAGATATATATGTAGATTAGACTATTGATAAACATTAGGAGAGAGAGAGATATATGGAGAGAGGAGACTATTGATCAGCATTAGATAGTGATATGGAGAGAGTTGACTGGATAAGCATTAGATTGAAATATGGAGAGAGTAGACTATTGATAAGCATTTGAGAGAGTGATATATGAAGAGAGTAAACTATTGATAAGCATTAGAGAGAGATATATGGAGAGAGTAGACTATTGATCAGCATTAGAGATATATATATATATAGAGAGAGAGAGTAGACTATTGATCAGCATTGAGAGAGAGATATATATATGGAGAGAGTAGACTATTGATCAGCATTAGAGAGAGATATAAATATGGAGAGAGTAGACTATTGATAAGCATTAGAGAGAGATATATATGTAGATTAGACTATTGATAAACATTAGGAGAGAGAGAGATATATGGAGAGAGGAGGCTATTGATCAGCATTAGATAGTGATATGGAGAGAGTTGACTGGATAAGCATTAGATTGAAATATGGAGAGAGTAGACTATTGATAAGCATTAGAGAGATATATGGAAAGAGTAGACTATTCATAAGCATTACTGAAACTTGTCACGAAATGGACAGAGGCTTTGGCAAAGATACCATCTTTGAGCGCAAGTGTGAAGACAATCAGCCAGGTTTATCCGTTGAAGATCGCGAGTTCCTCCAGATCATGGATGATGAGTGTTACAGAGATAAAGACGGTCATTGGACAGCGCCATTACCATTCAGGAAAGACAGGTATCGCTTACCTAATAATCGTGACCAAGCTGTAAAGAGGATGCAATCACTTATTTCTTCCTTCCAGAAAAATCCTATCAAGCAAGACCACGCGATAGCCTTTTTGCAACGTATGCTGAAAAATGGACATGCTGAAAAGGCCCCACTTCTAGAGGACAGAGAGGAATGCTGGTTTTTACCAATATTTGGTGTCTACCATTTCCGCAAACCAGCCCAGATCCGTATGGTATTTGACACCTCAGCCTCTTTCGAAGGAATGTCGCTCATTTCCACTCTGTTACCTGGACCGAACATGATGAACAGTTTAATGGGAATTCTATTAAGATTTCGTAAGGAGCGTGTTGCCGTCATAGGTGACATTGAGCAGATGTTTCATGCCTTCAGGATCGGAAAGGACCATAGGAACTTTGTACGCTTTGTCTGGTTTGAGGAAAATGATCCCCAGAAACCCTTGACGGACTACCGAATGTGTGTCCATTTATTTGGAAATTCCCCATCTCCAGCAGCGGCAACATACTGCCTAAGAAAGTGTGTCAATGAGGTATCATGTGATACAGATATTTTTGACTTTGTTACCCGCAACTTTTACGTGGACGATGGTTGGGCTTCATTCTCTACGGCAGAAGAGGCTCTAGATGTTCTTGCACATACTGAGGCAACGCTCATGGAACAAGGAAAGCTAAGGTTCCACAAATTTGCCTCCAATGATCAGGATGTTATAGATGCTATCCTGCCCACTGACAGAACTAAGGATCTCAGTGAAGTAGACCTTGATCTTAGTTCTGCTCCAACTCAGCGTAGCCTTGGTCTCAATTGGAATCTTCAATTAGACTGTTTCACATTCCAATTCTCGCCTAAGGATGTTCCCGTAACAAAACGTGTGATACTCTTGTGTTTGAACAGACTTTATGATCCTCTGGGATTCATGTCTCCGGTGATTCTTCAGGGAAGATTCATCTTTCGTGACATTGTCAATACAACCACTGGATGGGATGAAGTCGTTCCTCAAGAAATAGAAACCAGATGGAGAAATTGGTGTTGTTCTCTCTATCACCTGTCAGATGTGAAAATACCAAGACCATTTGTACAAGCCTCACTTAAGGAGAATGACAGAGTTGAGCTGCGCGTGTTTTCAGATGCCTCAGAGAAGGCTATCTCAGCAGTTGCTTATCTGAGGGTCATCTGCTGTGGCGACACCTTCGTTGGATTCGCGTTAGGAAAGTCGAAACTAGCTCCTCATCATGGCCATACGATGCCACGCTTAGAACTTTGTGCAGCAGTGCTAGCTACGGAAGTTGCCACAATTATTACCAAAGAATTGGATCTGAATATGGATGAAGTGAAATTCTACACAGATAGCCGGGTGGTACTTGGTTATCTCTACAACAGAACTAAGCGCTTCCACACCTACGTATCAAATCGTGTCCATCGGATTCATTTGGTATCTTGTGCAGAACAGTGGCATCATGTGTCATCGAATCAGAATCCGGCAGATATTGGAACACGGTCATGTATGGCCAATGAACTATATGAAGGAATATGGCTCACTAGACCCACCTTCCTGTGTGAAAATGCTAGTCCAAGAGAAGACTCCTGTTATCCGCTGCAAAATCCAGATGACGACAAAGAAATTAGGTCAGACACGGTCAAAACTTCACTCACTTGCTCATTAGGTCTATCGAGATTTGACAGCTTTTCATCATGGGCATCAGCCGTTCGAGCCCTTTCCATGCTGCAATGTTACATTATAAGGAAACAAGGGCGCTCGCCAGAAGACAGTTCGGGGTCGTACCGGTCTAGTGAGGTACGCCTTGTAAACATTCTTCAGCAGGAAAAATTTGGACAGGAAATTGCTAACCTCAGCAGTGAAAGGTCGGTCCCAAAAGACAGTCTGTTGCGGTTCTTGAACCCTTACCTAGATGAGAACGCAGTTATTCGTGTTAGTGGCAGACTTAACACTGGAGATGGCTTATCTGGAAATCATGGACCAATGATTGTTCCAGGGAAAACACATCTGTCGCGACTGATTGTTCTTCACCACCATAAAAAGGTGAGACATCAACGGAGAAACATCACCGAGGAAGCGATTAGAACAGCAGGATTTTGGATAATTGGAGTCAAGAGATATGTGACATCCATCATCCATTCATGCGTTATATGCAGAAAACTTCGTAGTAAGTTGGAGTGCCAAAAAATGGCTGACTTACCAAAGTTTCGTATACAGTAAACACCACCTTTTACGTACGTCGGTGTTGACACCTTTGGCCCGTGGGAGGTTTCAACAAGGAGGACACGAGGAGGTGCAGCTCACTCCAAGAGATGAGCAATACTCTTTACATGTATGACCAGTAGAGCAGTTCACATTGAGTTGGTAGAGGAGATGACATTCGCTTCATTTATTAATGCTCTAAGACGCTTCGTATCAATACGAGGTAAGGTCACAGAATTTCACTCTGATCGCGGAACCAATTTTGTTGGCAGCACCGATGCACTTGGTATAAACTCTGTGAACGTTGAGTTTCCCACAATGAAGAAGTTTTTGAGGGACAATGGATGCACTTGGGTGTTTAACCCACCTCATGCATCTCATATGGGAGGCATGTGGGAGAGAGTCATTGGAACTGCAAGGCGTATCCTCGAAGGGATTATTGTGACAGAGTCCAAGAAGAAGTTGACTCACGACGTTCTAAATACTTTCATGTGTGAAGTGTGTGCAATTATCAACAGTCGCCCTATAGTTCCTGTGTCTGTGGACCCTACACAGCCATCGGTGCTCTCGCCTTCTGTACTGCTAACTCAGAAGATGGCTACGGACATAGGATCATTCAAAGAGATTGACATAAAAGATGCCTACCGTTCGTGTTGGAAACATACCCAGGTTCTTGCAAACCAGTTTTAGAGGAGGTGGCAAAATGGCAAAATCTTCAGACACTTCAGACAACACGGAAGTGGAAGGATTCGAAAAACAACATCAAGGCTGGAGATGTGGTTCTGATGAAAGAGGACAGTACAGTCAGATACGACTGGCCCATTGGCGTAGTTTTGCGATGTTTCCCAAGTGGGGATGGAAGAGTTCGCAAAGTGGAACTCCATGTCATTAGGAATGGACAGAAAGTAGTTTATGAGACCAGTGACACAACTTGTGCATTTATTTTCACCATAGAAATTTGTGACATCTAGGATGTCAGGCGGGGAGTGTTATGCCGCCAGAGTCGCTTAAATCCGGGATTCTTGTTCAGTATTTTGGTCCGGACATTAGTTTTACCCGCCGGAAGTGGTTTCGTTTTGATAACGTTTTGCAGACATGTGTTGTCGTCTGCCAGCTACAATGTATGCATGCCAAGTGACAATGAAACGTCTGGTACGATAGTCACTTCTACCTTACGGCACCTGGGATGCTCTATACACAATCCAGAATACCACGACAGTGTAGGTTTGTGTGTTTGATAATTTGCTTGCTGAAAATTGTAGCGTAACATAACACGTGGTTCTGTCTGTGTGTCGAAATGTCAGATATGTAAATTCTAATGTGTGATTATTTGTTATTTCTGTTTTGTAGTTGTTTACAGCTATCCATGGCAATAAAGAATAGCAAGGTTATTCGGAGTTGAAGTTATAAATTGTTGTAGAGGCGTAACAATGACGGTTCTAGCTTGTTTGTATTTCAGTTTAATCATTTGTTCATTGTAAATGAATGTAAAAATAAAAAGTTTCCTGTTACCTAATTCATTGTTTTTGGGATGATTCAGGTTTGATGACTGCGTTGTTGGAGGTGAGAATTTCATGCTGAATGTAATGGCAGTGGCTGAGCTCTTCAGACAACAACATCCTGCTGACTTTGAAATACTCACTAAAGTCCCTGCCACATTCCAGAAAGTCCACTTTGCACGCAGTGAACCAGTCTTGATGAAATATCAGCGACCTCACATCAACCTCAATCATAGGGGCGAGGTAGTGTCAAATTGTTCAACTTGATTTTGCACTATTAGGCACTGTTTGTTGCCAGTCTATTGAAGTGATGCTTATTATAACTTCAGCTTCTGTTACAAACTTCAACCGTTATAGTATGGTACTGTCTGTCCATCCATTTGTCTTTCTGTTAGTTATTTGACCATCATCCTCCTATACGTTTTAACCAATATCTTTCAAACTTGGAAGCCTTACCACCATAAAATTGATAAAAATTCATACCCCTGTCATATTCAAGGTGGCAGCTGTCTTAAAAACAATTTGTTATCACTCACTAACTTAACCTGTCTGGTTTAATTGTAAGCTAACCTGGACAAGGACCAATGGAGCTTATCGCATGATGCAACAGCCAGCATCCATCCACATCAGTTCCTTCCTTTATCAACAGGTTTGGTCTCTATCCCTGAGATGAACTCTCAAGTGAATCTTGTAAACTTGTGTCAAGTGAATTGAAATTAGGCGATACCATGCTACTATGGTTGCCACCAGTTGTCCAATCTCATGTATTGTTTGTCCACTCAAGTTCTTTCAGAATGATAACATTATTGCAGTAAAAGTACAATGTAGTTCTTGTTAATTTACTTATCATCAAGATGATCTCTATGGCATTCCTCAAAAATGGTATTTTATAGAACTCTACAAACTTTTGCAATGCTGTCCATTTTACAAGATTTCATGAGATTAAGAATGATCATTCAGATTAAAAGCTATGAGTGCTAAGACAAATCTCTGAGATTTAAACTGGTCTTCGCTCTATGCTTTGCTTGCTTTGTGAGCAAGATGTGAGGGGATATATTTTTGAGTCTCAGACGTTTTTCTGTAGGATAGTAAAACACAGCACCTAATATACATCCTTATCTTAACTACCAATATTTAGGTCACTTGAAACAAAGTCTCCAGTGACCTGTTGTAATGGCCTTTTGTCCGGCGTCATACTTCGTGTGTCGTCCATTCTCCATCATAAACATTTCATATTTTTTACTTCCTCTTGATAACAAATAGGCCCAGAGTGCTGATATTGAGCCTCCTCTATGCTGGAATGAAGGGCTAACAAGTTTGTTCATATTGTTGACATTGAACCACTTTAAAAGTCACATGTATCAAATATGTTAAAATCTTTGAAATACTTCTTCTCAATAACCAAAAAAAGGCCAAGGGTGCTGATATTCAGCCAATAGCTTGCTGGGATGAATGGCTCTCATGTATGTTCAAATGATCTTGACCTTCATTCAAGGATACAGGAGTCAAATATGCTAAACAAGAACAACAGAGAGTGTTATCAGTTCCATTTGAAAATTAAGCCTTCAAACTTTTCAACAATAGAAATATTGTAAGTATGCATATATCAGTTCTGTTCTGTCTGTTTCAATGCTTGAACTGATGGACAGATTCTAAAACTGTCCAAAAACCTGAAGACATCATGTGACCGTTAAGGTCCATAGGCCTCTTGTATGTCTTATTGCTGGCGAATACAACATATTGTTTCTGAGACATACACTATGTATCTTCATATGATAGAGAATCAGTTTGTGTGACTGATAACAATGGTTAATCTCTGTCAGACCATGAAAACCATGTTTCTACAATTCTTGATTACTTGAAACATGAAGACATGTAATAATCATCAGGGGTCAAGGTGACACTGTCCTTCAGGGTCTCAGAGACACTGTCCTTCAGGGGTGACACTGTCCCTATTTACCAGTTCTGACTTGATGAAGTAGGTGATGAATGTTACTTCCTTTCATCTATCGTGGCGGGAACAAGGGCATATCTGCTGAAATGATGAGGACAGAGTAAGGAACTTTATATAAATTATTAGTGATTGACTGTAATTAGATAGTTCACCATGTGTTCAACAACTGAGATATAACAGAACAGAAATAGGATTTGTGAAAATTGCGTTCAAAGTCTTTCTGCATATAGGATAGATTTCCTGGCAGTGTATTAAGATCAATATCATAAAAACCTTTATATATGAGCTTGATAAAAATAAGATTTTGACATGAAGGGTCAAAGTGACCTACTGCTATCATACACTGCTGTTGACCTTTCATAAACCTTTACTTAAAAACACTACTCCTGCTGATGAACACCTTTGCAGATTTCAACAAAATTTGGTCTGAAACATCATTTGGATTGAGCAATCATTTCTTATACTTAGAAAGTTAATTTGATCTTTTGGACCTGAGGATTGGGCTCCAAAAGGGATATTAGACAATACTTTGCTTCAAAATGCTACTCTTCCTTAAGACTTGAAAGCACTTTGTTCAAATTTGGTCTGAAACATCTGTAGACTTGGGCAATTGATTTTTAAATTTAGAAAATTGATTTGACCCCTGGGGACTTAGGGATGGGGCCCATATGGAGGGACTTAGGGATGGGGCCCAAATTGTGGGACTTAGGGATTGGGCCCAAATGGAGGGACTTAGGGATGGGGCCCAAATGGAGAAGTTGGTTGGTATGTTGCATCAGAACTCTATGATTCCTTAATGCTTGAATGGATTTCAATCAATGTAGTCTGAAACATCAATTAGGGTGGAGAATTATATTCAGACAGTTAATTTGACTCTAAGTGACTTTGGAACGAGGTACCAAAAGGGGATTTAAGACAATATTTTGCTTCAAAACGCTAACCCTTGTTAATGCCTAGGTAGATTTCAACCAGATCTGAACTATAACATTGTTGCAGGTGGGTTATCATTTCTTAATTCAGAAAATTGATTTGACCTAGGGAAGTCAGTCAGATTTTTTGCCTCAAAACGCTTCTCTTCCTTAATGCTTGAACAGATTTCAACCAAATGTGGTCTGAAATATCATTGTGGGAATTTATCAGATTTGTCAGACCATCATCTGAAAATTCTGTGGTTTGTGCATCCCATCATCAATTGTTAGGTAAACATCAAGGGCCATGGCCCTCTTGTATTATATACCAGGTAAATAAAGATGGCATGAAATTAAAATCTCATCGAACATTTATACAATGGGAGAGCAAACATGCAAGGCACTAGTTCATAGATATGCATGAAATCTATATGTAGCACCTGTGAACAACCCCAAACCAGGTAAACCAGGAAATATTAGCTTTACAAAATTAAACAACTACAGTTGTCTGTGTAAATCTTTATTTTCTGATGTTGGTTTAAAGCTGATGTTTATATCAGTGTTTGAATGAGGATGTCAATTTGGCAGCAACAACAATATATATACTTTTTGTCACACAAAATATTTATTGTTTTTGGTTGTTAGTCAGAACAAGACAGAAGTCAAAAATGTATCCTTTTGGAACAGGAACTACAAGCATAATACATGTTGATATGTGGATCCACATTTCGACTCGATTAGAGAAAGTTTATCAGTTAGATTTCATGATAATGGAGAGATCACCATCAGATGAAAAACACTGTTCAATGATAGCAAACACTGAGGTTGCATAGAAAATAAAAGATATGTATTCTTGGAAAACACAACTTCCAATAACCATTGGTCAATTAACTTTGGAAGAGTATCTATAATCCTTCTTCCATCTGTTGGAATGACTTTAGTAAATTTTTGAAAATTCTTCTGATGATGAATGAGAATTTTAGATTTTAGTATGAAGTATCCTTGGATATATGATTGGTCTGACACCCTTGAAGGCATAGGAGAAGAGCCAAATAAAGGAAATAGATGAAAATCTCCAAACAACTTCTCAATAACCAAAAGACCAAGGGTACTGATATTGGGCCTGTAGTATGCTAAGATTAAGGGCTATCAAGTTTGTTCAAATAAATGACTCTCAGTTTACTATTATATTGGTTGAGATTGATCCTAGGGGGTAAATGGATGAGACAAAAATGGGTCAAATTTAATGAAAATTTCATAAATCTTCTCAATACCCAGAAACTATGGAAACAAGTTCTCTTATGGAGTCGTCTAAGGTTCTTTACAAAAGTTGTGAATTTTATGATAATGGGGTCCTACATTTCCCCTGGGGAGGTATGAATTAACTGTAGTTTATACATGTTAAGGGAAATCATTATTGAGTATGATTTGTCTAATTGCCATTACACGACAAATTGGTCGGAATTATCAATGGGGATGTCACTTGATGGTATGTACATATTGACCCTGACCTACAGAAGCTGAAGGGCAAAGCAATAATTGGTCATATTTAAGGGAGAGCATAAACCATGGTAGTTACCTCTGTGTTCGTGCATCATAATTTTGTCCAAAGTATAACACAAAAACAATAAGAATTATCAACATAAAACAAGGAGAAGTGCGCCAGAACCATCACTCTCTTTGACATAATAAGTTATTGCCCTTTGTTATTTTTCATACTTAGATTTTGTCCGAAGCATTACACTAAAACTAAAAGGGGGTATGAACATGAAACATTATAGGTAAATATCAGTGTCAAGAAGGGCAGTGCAAAAGAACCATAGCTCACTTATTGCCCTTTATTACTTTTCATACTGAAATTTTGTCCCATCCAGAGATCATAACTCATCTCTGACAACCATTGTTAAGATATTTTATAAAGCAAGAGAATCTAAATGCTCACTGGCCTCTTGTTAGTCACTCACTGGAAACTGTTCGGGGGACATCCTCTTGCTATCCTATTATTTTAAGCTTCTAAACAGCAAATCATAGAATCTTGGTAAGAAATTGTGTCATGTTTCAAAAGTAGGTCACTCTGACGTACATTTGGACCTTTGTCCTACATTAAAGGTAAAGTTTGTTCTGGCCCTATCTTTACTAGCAATGGGAATTTTATACTTACATTTTGTTTCTGGTATAACTTCACCTTTGAGGCAGTGTGTCATGTGTCAAAAGTGGGTAACTCTGAACAAAATTTTGACTTTTGACCTACAAACAACTTTGAAAAAAAAATTGTCCTTGCTCTATTTTCTACACGCCTAGTCATACATTGTAATTTACCAAATAATGTTGTTTGTTTGAGTCTCATTTGTTTTGCATTTCACTTTCTCATTTTTTGTTCTTTCAGATTGTGAATGTAATCTGGTCACCACAGTTTGAGGGACCTCTCTTTGCTGAATATGTAAGAATTTCTACTAAAAAGGATGCATAATGCTATGAACATTGTTTATCGTGACCAAATTAAAGGTTACTAAAAACTGCTTCTTTATGCATTGTATACAGTTGGCTTTGAATGCCTCTAATGGGAGGGCAGAATCCATTATAGGGGAAATGCCATACCACAAGTTCTTATAAAATCCTTCTGTAGGAATGGCAGGATTTTGTCACAATTTAGGGTGAAGGGGAATCAACTTCATGTAAACGGTGAGTCTCGGGGCTCTGTTCATAGTTATTAGGTCAACTGACCTGAAAGGATGACCTATAACCATCGTGTCCATCGCCATATGCTGTGCGACAGCTTCTGTACAGATTAATTCTTCTCAATAAACAAAAGGCCTAGGCCTAGAGTGCATTTATTGGGATAAAGTGCTTCTAGGTTTGCTTATATTATTGACCCTGACCAACTTTCAAATTCAGAGGTGCCAAATGTGTTGAAGTCTTTAAACAACTCTTTCTCAATAACCAAGAGGCCCATGGTGCTGATATTGGGCTGGTAGCGTGCTGGGATGAAGGACTACCAAATTTGTTGAAATGAATTACCTAGACCCACTTCCAAGATCACGGGTTAAATGTGGCGAAATCTTGAAAACAACTTCTTCTCAAGAATCAAAAGGCCCAAGGTGCTGATGTTGGGCCAGTATTATGCTGACATAAAGAGCTATTAAGTTTGTTCATATTATTGACCTTGACCCACTTTCATGGTCACTGGTACAAAATAAGTCATAATATTTAAATGACCTCTTCTCAATAACCATGGAAGAATGGTGAAACTGGGCCTGTGACAACCTATCATCAAGGGCAACACCAAGTTTGTGAAAGTGAATGGCCTTGACATACTTTGAAGGTCACAGGAATCAAATATATTTAAATAATTTCTTCTCAATAAACAAAAGTCACATGATGCTGATATTGATCCAGTAGTTTTTTGGGATGAAGCAATAAAGTGCTACCAAGTTTTTTTATATTATTGACCTTGACCTACTTTCAAGGTCGCAGGTATCAAGTATGTAAATGACTTCTCCTCAATAGCCGAGAGACCAAGAGTGCTGATATTTGGCCTGTAGCATGCTAGATGAAGGGTTACCAATTTTGTTCATGTGATTGACCTTCTTCTCAATGATATAATGGTTGAGGCTGTTTACATTGGTTCTTTAACATAATCAGTGGATGAAGCACTTCCAAATGTTATCAAATGATTGACCTTGATCTATATTCAAAGCCTGTTGGGTCAAATAAGTTGAGATCTTTAAATATCTTTTCAACAAGCAATAGGTCTTGAGTAATGATGTTTATATTGATAATATGAATGATTTCATGTTTGCAGAAAATGTTTTTTATAAACAAACAATGACTTGTGTAAGCTGTAGCGTAGTTGAGCAATTTGTTAATTAGGCCTATTTGGCCACTTCTATATATAGGTCTTTATAGTCAGATAGCCCTTAAGATCAATGAGCCTCTTGTTACACTTGATGGTGGAATGTTGAAAATTTTTTAAAATGTTGTGAATTAACACCTTGACTGTTGAATTCCTTTTGAATTATTTTGAACATTGATGGTTCATGTCAGATTTTGTTGGTCAATGATTTTTGAAACATCATCTGTTCTATCATAAACCAATGTCTACATTTAGTCCACCATCATCAGGGAGTACTGGATGATATTTGTAAAATGTAATATGTATGTTCCCCTGGGTCCCTACTTGTGTGCTTTCAATTTTGGGAGTGATAAGAATAAGAAAATGAAACAGCTAACAGGCAGTCGTCTTAGATTTTGCTTAGTCAAGTATGTAATACTGATCAGATAAATATTGCTAAGAGGTTGCCATCTTGGATCAGTTATTTGCTATATTTTTTCAGAGGAATATTCAAATTTCATATTACTAAGAGCAAAAACAAAGGATCAAATAATGGTGGGTACCAAGATCCCTCTGGGATCTCTTATTGGCAACACACAGTCAATTACTCTCATGTTGATCTATTGCGGTGCATTTGTAAACTTCTTCCGGAAAATCCCTGAATTGATTTCAATGTGTAGGATGCCAATTCAATGTTATGCACATATTGTCATTTGCTGAGTTCAAGGGGCTGATAGGTGTGTCCATAAACAGTAATATTTACTGAAAAGCTTCTTCTCAATACTCCAAAATAGTAAAATCAAATACTCTCTATATAAAGAAGGGTCTGAAGGTGCTTTACTAAAATTGTAAAGTTTACTATAGTTTATATGAGAATATTACATTTTGAAAAATAGTATGTAAGTTTTCTTATGGAAATAGATTAGCCTTGGTTAGAATTGTTAGTATAGGATTGACTGAAATTCCAAAACTCTCCTCAATATCTAGATATTTTAGAATCAAATACTCTTCATAGATGGATGGGTATTAAAGTAACTTTTTTGTCCTGGTACAAAAAGCATTTCTCATTTTCTGTTCTCCATATTACTCTTTCATTCCATTTTGTTTCAGTTTGTGAGTTCACAGGTAGCTGGTTAGGTCCCTGGGCCTCTTGTTCAATTTACTTTTTCTAACACTAGAGGTCAAAATTGCTTTTCACAGGAGATCACCTGACCAGTTATTTCAGCCAACCAGAATTAGTATAAAACATTTGATATAAGTAATCCTTATCAATGAAGATTCATTAAATTCTACAGTATGTTGACCCTCTTCTGTCTTCATCATTACCAGGATGATGTGCTGCCATACTACCAGGCATACCACAAGTTTTCCAAGGCAATACAAAACAGCCAAAACTGTGTAAGTGATTTATTTTGTGCTTTTCGTTTGACAGGCGTAATATGGGATGCCATCTATTTTCATCTACCAGTCAGGTAATTTTATTGATTGAAGATATCATTTTAAAGTTATGTGCCATTGTCAATATTCTATGTTTTGTAGATTTTTTACCAGGTATATAAATATAGGTTGGAGTACAGGTTGTGAAAATGATTTTGATTTGAACCTTTTTCTGTCACAATATTGAGGTTTAAGATTCAGTGCAATTTTTTTTAAAGGCCTTACAAATCAGATAAAAATAATGCTATGATGTTGAATATTTGTATTTTAATGTTCTGATGAAACTGTGATACTATGGTTTAATTAATGAAAATATTTCGGGGAATTTTGATCATGTTTATCACTTCAATTTTATTAGGTCATCTGAAAGATCAGATACCCTTTAGCCATCATGATTCATCTATCATTGTGCACTGTGCATAAACTTTTCATTCAAATTAGTTGATGCCATGGTGTGACATCTGTTGTCTTTGTGTGTCTGGCTTCAACTTCTTCCTTTAAACAACTTCTTCTAAAAATTTCTTTGCAAAAATAAATGACCATGATTTATGTTTAAGGCTACAAGGGTCAAATTTTCAAAGTCATAGACGTCAAAAGTGTTAAAATCTTTTAAACATCTTTTCTTAATAATCAAAAGACCAAGGTTGCTTATGAGAGCAAGGCATTAAGATGCAGATGTCTTAAGTTATCCATCTTGTTCATCTGTCTGTCTTTTTGTCCATTTTTGTAGTCAGATTCTCTCCATATTTGGTATGTAGCTTTGTATATTTGCAAGAGTTATGGGACTTTGAATGACGAAAAGTTAATATTTTATTACTTTCCATGTGGTACCTTGCATATTTATATTCTGATGTTCTCAAAATTTGGTATATGGATTCATATTGCATGGGTTCTCTATTCAATGATATGTGATAAAATTTGCAAGAGTAATTGCACTTACTTAAGTTATGGAACTTTGAATGCTGAAAATATACAATTTTATGTCTTTCCACTGATTTCATATTTGCAGACAGATCTTCACCAAACTTAAGAGTTTAAGGTTTGAGTTAGCAAGATCCACCAACCCCTATAATCTGGAAACCTTTATAATTAAGAAAATGATTTGTGAATATAGCATTACAGTAGTAGTGAAACTTAGACAATGTCAATAACTTCTGCAAACTTATTGACATTGCCCTTAAAATTAAGGTCACATGGATCAAATGTGCTCAAATATTAAAATTACTTCTTTTCAATAACAGAATAACCCAGGGTCATGATATTAAGCCAGTAGCCTGCTGGGATGAAGGGCTACCAAGTTTGTTCAAATGACTGACTGACCCATTTTCAAGGTCACATGGGTCATATGTGTCAAAACATTTGAACTACTTCTCAACAACCAAATGACTCCAGGGTCATGATATTTGACCATTGATATAGCCTGATAGGATGAATGGCTATCAGTTTTGTTCAAATGAATAATCTTGACCTTCATACAAGGTTACAGGAGTCAATAACCAAGAGGTCCAGTGACTTGATTACTGGCTCTTTAGTATGCTGGAATGAAAGGTTAACAAGTTTCATAACATGAGTGACTTTGACTTTCAAGGGTTTTTTTAAAGGTCACATGTGTCAAATACATGAAAACTAATTCAACAAATTCTCAATAACCTCAGGTGACTGTTAAGGCCCAGGGGCCTATTGTTTCTTTTTAAATGTTACAGGGGTCATATGTGTTAAAACCTTCACATGACGTCTTCTCAATAATAAAATGATCGAGGCTGTTGATATTGATTCTTTTACATACATCGATGAAGGGCCTTGACATATATTCAAAGTCTCTTGAGTCAAATGAGTTGAGATCTTAAAATATCTTTTTTAGCAAGCATTAGGTCTGGAGTAGTGACATTTGTGTATGTTCAGAATATAAGTTTGCAGAGAATGTTTTATGACTCAACAATGTTTTCTTTTTAAGCTGTTGAGTAGTTGAGCAATGTTTTGGCCAATTTGGCCACTTGAATGTATAGGTCTTTATAGTCAGATGACAAGTATATTTTCTTTCAGAAATCGTTAAAACTTGTTAGAATTATTAGTATAAGATGACAATTTGATGAGATGCACATGTTGATCTTTGCTGACCACAGGTTAAAAAATGGATCAAATGATTTAGTAGTAGTGGAAATAATGTACTAAAAGTGAAATTTGGACAGTTGGTTGTTAATTGAGTTAAATGGCTGGAAGGTTCTCTTATTTCCAACTGAAAGGTTCTCTTATTTCCAGGTGAAACTGAGGCTAAAGCCAGGAGAAATACTGACCTTTAACAACAGAACAATTTTACACGCCAGAACATCCTTTGAACTTAATGGAGGGGAACGAAAATTGCAGGTAAACAAAAAGTAATGGATTTTTCAGGTAAAATGATGAGTTTAGTTTAGTTTCTTGTTGCTTAACATTCTATTAACAACAAGTGCCATTGGGTGGTTTAGGAAGGGAGGAGTACCTGGAGAAAAACCACTGACATGCGGCAGGTACCTGTCAACTGCCCCACATAGGGCTCTAACCAGCCACCTAGAGATGATGGGCTAGTCATGAAGATGGTCAGACATCTAAACCACTCGGCCACCAAAATGCAGACATTGTATAGTAAATGGGCAAATCATGATCAATATAAGGTCACAAATTTAATTTGTATTCTGTTCAATGCAAGAATTTCTTTTGTTTTTGTTACGATTTCTGCTGTCACTCATTGATAAGCTTATTTTTAACCCATCACCATCAGATGGTGGGCTATTCAAGTTGCTCTGTGTCCCTGGCCCATAGTCCATCCGTCCGTTGTCCATTAACAGTTTTTGTTATCACTACTTCTCGAGAAGTCTTAAATGGATCTCTCTCAGATTGCATATGTAGGTTTCCCATGGTCCCTAGTGATGCCCATTCGATTTTGGGACTGACCAAGAAAGCAAAATGGCCAACAGGTAGTCATCTTGGATTTGTTCAATGAAGTTTGTTATCACTATTTCTTGAAAACTGAGAGATGGATCTCTCTCAAATTTCATATGTAAGTTCCCCTATGTCCTTAGCTTTGCCCATTTATTATTTGGGGCTGATCAGGAAATAAAATGGCCAAAAGGCGGTCAACTTGGATTTTGGCATTGTAAGTTTGTTATCGCTATTTCTTGAGAACTACTGTATAGATATTTCTGAAATTTTCATGTATAGACTACTTTAGGTCTCTAGTTTTGCCTATTTGAGTTTGGGACTGATCAGAAAAACAAAATGGCTAACTGGCAGCCATCTTGAATTTTGCTTAGTAAAGATTGTTATTGCTATTTTTGAAGAAGTACTGAATGGATATCTCTCAAATTTCATACATACATTCTCTTTGGTCTCTCCTTGTGCTCCTTTGCTTTTGACATTGATCAGAAGAAATCAATGGCTTCTAGGTGGCCATTTTGGATTTGGCAGGTAAAGATTATCTCTTCAAAGGAATGTTGAAATGTCTTATCATTAAGAGCAAAAACAGAGAGAAAAAGAAAACAGAATTAAGAACCAACTTTCAAATAGCATGTAAAGATCATACATTGGTGTACACCAAGATTCCTCTAGGATCTTTTCTTTATAGTCTGTCAGTAATAAGCTTATTAGACCCTTGCCAGTGAAACCGAAAGACACTATAGTGTTTGTCTGGATCTGTCAGTCCATCCATCTATCTGTAAGCAATTTTTGTTTCATTACTATTTTTTGAGGAATAGATCTTTCTTTAATTTCATATGTAGATGCCCCTTGGTCCTTAGCTGTGCCTCTTTAAGGTCTGATCTGAATAATAAAATGACCGAAAGGCAGCCATTGAGGATTTTTATCGCTATTTCTTTCTCTTTCTCTTCCTCAAATTTATGTGGATGTTTCCTTGATCCGTAGTTGTGCCTGTAGAAAAAGAAAATGGACTACAGGTGGCCATCGTGGATTTTTAATTTGAAAGTTTGTTATCGCTTTTTCTTGAGAAATAATTCATAGCTCTTTCTCAAATTTCATGTATTGATTCCTCTTGGTCCCTAGTTGTGAATGTTTGATTTTGGGACTTATCAAACAAAAAAGGGCAGACAGCAATCTTGGATTTTGACAAGTAAAATCTGTTATCCATATTTCGTAAGAAGTGCTGAAAAGATCTCTCAAATTTCATACATCGAACAGAAAGAAAAATTGGACGATAAGCGTCCATCTTAGATTTCACAAATTAAAATTTGTTATTGCTATTGCTTGAGAAGATCTGGGTTGATCTTTCTTAGATTTCATATATAGGTGCTCCTTGGTCCCTAGCTGTGCTTATTTGGTTTTAGGTCTGATCAAAATAACGAAAAGGCCGAAAGGTATCATCTTGGATTTTGATTTTGAAATCTTGTTTTCGCTAAAAAAAACAGGAAGAAAAAGGGTATATCGCAGACGTGGTAAACGTTGTGCCAATGCATGTGTGGTTGAACGAGATAGAATCCCCCTTAGCGGTCCTCAAACCTCAATGCCTTTTGATAGAAAGATCAGATACTCCAACCACTTTTCCTTCCATTTCTCAGACATCATAACCTAATTTTTCCAGCAAGGCAATGCTCAACTGCATGTTGCCGGAGTCGGTTGTGATTTACTCACAGGAAACAATTTTCAGTCTCGGGGATTTGTGCAAAAGTTGCAAGCACCAGGTACTGAAGTGTCATTTTGGTTTTTGCAGATATCCCACTTTGAGAAGCACAAACTCTTCTTCTACATTATTGTAAAGAGTAGACTTCACATTGATATAAAATTTTGTACAAATCTCCCAAAATATCAGAGGCTATCGATTGCATAATTTAATGGATGAAAGGAAATCAGTGTTGTACAAACCTCCCTAGGGCGGTATCCAATCGGAGAATTAGAGTAAGTCATTTGTAATGCTACTCCTCCTGTCGAAATGAATGTATTTTGCCCAAATATGATCTTAAACATCCTTAGGTGAATGGGAAATTGTTTTGTATGAACCAAGTAAAAATATTGTGTGTTGTCTTCTTGGACATTTAGAATTCTTTTTCCTTTAGTTTGGACTAAGCAATTTTAGACAATCAAGCCAGTTGAGTAGTAGGCCCTATGACCTCTTGCTTTTATAAATACACTGGAGATAAGATAATGAATTTTGGTTTTAAAATGACAAACCTTATTGTGTTTCCATGCATAAAAACAAGCATACTGTCTCCTTAGTATCGGATTGTTAGAAGATATTTTTAGGAGAAATTTGTTACCTTTTCATGTGATAAATCTGTTGTAAACTTTTGTTAACATTCTCATTTGATTGTTTTTAACAATGATATATTGTTGATACATATCGTTAGATCTGATAAAAAAAACTTCACTTATGCATGTAGGAGTTGTAATGATAAAGATGACTTAGCATTGCAGCTTGCATTGAACATATCTTTTGGGAATATGAATGAAAAGAAACTGTTTGTGTGAGTTCCGCTCAAGGGATAAAGAAACGCAGGGTGACATTATTTGCAATATCTTGCGAATGCATTTTTCAAAAACAATGAAAATCAGTCAGGCAAATCTCTAAGTTACTGTGCACATGGTCCTGTATCAAATGTTGCATTATTGTATTACCTGACATCTTCCGAGGAAAGCACGAAGTGGTAAAATTTCTTACACAGCAGTGTGACATTGAGCTAGATTGCTTGTCATACCATTAGTTAGTCTTCATTTTCCAATATTTCCGTTATTATTTTATGATCAAACAATGGAATGGCTGACAGAAGTTGAAAGGGGTCAGGCCAAGCATCAAACAATGGCACGACTGACAGAAGTTCAGAGGGGTCTGGCCAAGCAACAAACAATGGCACGGCTGACGGAAGTTCAGAGGGGTCAGGCCATTGCAATGAATATGCAAGGTCAAAGATAAATACAGGTTGCCAGATATTTTGGTGTCTATTTTTGCACTATAGAACATCTTCTTAGATGTCTTAGGAAAATAGGGCGGGTTGCTTACAGACCTAGGTCTGATCGTCTGCGCGTGACGTCACAACGTCAGGACTGGTTATTCATCTCACGCATTTGGGCAATTGACACCTTACTGTCACTGAATCTGCCCTTCATACAATAGGTATTCATAACCGTCATATTCATGCAAAAACTGTAAGGAAATGATTGTGGAAGTAGGTCTACGGCCACGTCACCCGTTTGTAGATCGGCACCTTGCAGCTGCTTGTGACCAGAGTCGTATGGCTTAGATGGTGGCACATGGCCCCAGAATACTCTCATTGAGGCAGGGGAGGCAGGTCTTGTTTACTGATGAGTCCTGCTTCACCTTGTTTCGAGAAGATGTTCGACGTCTTGTATACCGATGTCGTGGAGAACATTTTACCAACTGCCTTGTAGTAGAAACAAATAAGTTTGGCGTGGATCAGTTATGGTGTGGGGAGGAATCTCACATGCAATTAAATCACCACTGGTTGTGGTAGCCGGTAATTTAACTGTCACTAGGCATAGAGATGAAATCTTCTGACCCAATGTTGTCCCATTATTGCAGCAAAATAACCTCACATACCAGCAGGATAATGCTCGGCCCCATGTAGCTAGGATCCGTCACGACTTTCTCACTAACAACAATATTCACCCACTGGATTGGACGCCATACAGTCCAAACCTATCCCCTATTCAGCACTTGTGGGACTTGTGCAGTTTGTTCTGTATGGATTAATCTTCATTCTTACTTTAAAATATCAAACATCATACTCAATGTCTTGCCTAAAGTTATCTTCAAAGTTTACACTGCGTTTCTTTATCCCTTGAGTATAGTAAAATTTGCCCATAAAAGTTTGTTTTGTATTGCAGGGTTGTTATCTCAACATTGATGAATACAAATCTAAGCTAGCAGTTCTTGCCCATCTCCTAGAAGACAATCAACCAGTGAAGCATGTTGGTAATCAGTGCTGGTTTTAGTTAAAGCTGAGGATGAATCCTGTACTTAAATTGGATGATGGCATGGGGCAAATAAACCCTTTTGTTTAAAAATGCCAGCAATATGTACTACTTTAAAATTATACAAAACTTAAACATAATGACTTATACATGTGTATCTAAATAATAAGATGTAATATTCAAGTTTAAGCTCACTTTACACAAAGTCAGATGATTCCACTGGGCAGTGTCCATCTGAATCCACATACATTGTATAAACATTTAAAGCTAAGGAAATAGGAATAAATTTTGTGTAAATAGTGGATTTCTGACCCAAGGGGCCTAAGGGGTGGGGCCAAAAGTGGAAATTTTAAAATCTTACTCCTTCTGCAGGAAAGATAGTATTTTACCAAATTTGGTCTGAAGAATTCTTTAATGAAAGGGAATCAATTTGTATAAATGGTAGGTCTTGGCCTCATGGGCAAGAGGGGCTAGGTCACTCAGAGGAAATAGAGCAAATTACTTAAAGTCCTATTCCTTCTGCAGTAAAAGATTGGATTTTGCGAAAAGTTTGGTCTGAAGCATTCTTAGGTGATGAGGAATCATTTTTCAGTTCATCTGCCTTGGGCAGGAGGGGCAGGTTTTAATATGGGAAATAAAGCAAAGCCTTTAAAATCTTACTCCTCCTGTAGGAATGATTATATATTGTCTAAATTTGGTCTGAAGTATCATCGGGTGAACGATTGAAAGGGAATCAATTGTGTATTAATGGTGGGTCTCAGGCTCACTATGGCATGAGGAATGGGACCCAATTGGGGGAAATAGTGCAAATTCTTTAAAATCCTTCTCCTGTAGGAAAGATAAGATTTTGCACAAATTTGGTTTGAAGCGTTCTTGTGTGACAATTAATCATTTTTTAGTTCAAAACAGTGAATCCCATCTGTCTTGGACAGGGGAAGTACAGCAAAGTCTTTAAAATCTTACCCCTCTTGTAGGAATGATTAGATTTTGTCTAAATTTGGTCTGAGGTATCATTGGGTGAAAGATTGAAAGGGAATCAATTTTATATTAATGGTGGGTCTCAGGTCCCTTATGGCATAAGGGGTCGGACCCAATAGGGGAAATAGAGCAAATTCTTTAAAAAAAATAGCCCAAATTTGGTTTGAAGTATTCTTGGTTGAAGGCAAATCTTGATTTGCATAAACAGTGAGTCTTCGCCCCTGAGGCAGGAGGGATGGGCACCAATATTGGAAATCATAAAGAAAAATTATTTAAAATGCTACATCTCCTGTTGAAGTTATTTGGTCTGAAGTATGAATGGTTTTGCTGACAGAAAGTCGTGGCCCAGTAGGAAAATAGATATGCTGTGTGCTTAGATATTTATAGTTCCTTTTCCTTTAGTTTTTATTTCAAAAGACTGAAAGCAGGTGTGTTTTGTTTGCAAGCTCACATGAAATTATTTGGCATAAAACATTTTCTTATTGCACTTAAGGTATGTAGAAAATGGAGATACTTTTCACCATGTAACATGTACAATGGAAGCCTCCATTGCTACTCAGTATCATTATGTGTGAACATAGACTTTATAAGCACTTTCTTTACACCAGGTAAAATGCTAGAACATTTCACTTTCATTCCAAAATATTATCTAACAAAGTTTTTAGTAGTTTTCTGTGTTATCAAACATTTCACAAGTGATCACGCTGGTATACATCTTGTCACACTTAACTAGCACTACCAAACAGGTTACCATCAACTTGCCATGACCATAGCCCATTAATAAACCATGAATGCCAACCCTCAATTTGCCATTAAAATATTATTAAAATATTATTAAGATTTGAGTGTGACTTCAGGGTCACCTTCAACAGACCAGCTCTTGTATCGAGTGTACTAGCACTGACGTACGTAGTATAAGAGATGGTACGGAATCAACCAACTTTTTCGACAGTACTATAAGGCTATGTACACTAAGGTCGAAAATAGTGTGAAGAGATGGTAAACAGATTATATACCAAAAAATACACCAGATGGTAACAATGTACTGTTATCAATTCGGCTATGCTTTGTTTGTCATAGATGTGCGAGAGTATGTACCTCCCCTCCCTCCACATCACTATTAAGTACTGGCCCGCTACGGCGTATCCAGATGGCTTTTATAGCCAATCATCTGGAAAGGTTGTTTTCCCTGTTAAGCTAAGTATGGACGAAACGTTGTCAAAGATGTGAGAAAGCTTGGGGACCTTGGAAAGAAATTAGCGAGACACAGAAATCACGCTAAAATGTAGGGATTTAAAAATAACACCTACAAGTCTCAATTTCAAATGCCCAATTAATACCATCAATGTCCAAAATATCATTAGCAAAGTGCAGAAAGATCTAGTGAGAGAAAGAATACATTATTAACAAGATTGACGCATTGAAAAGCGAGAAAAAAACTACTCACCAAGCTAAGCTGATCGAGCGGTTATCAAGTGACACTCTCGAGGACATGAACACACATGTGAAGGGCAGAGGGGAAACAGTGTTCAGCACGACCATAGAATGCCATTTGACGAAGTTGAAACATCTAATAAGGAAATCTACTTATAACAACAGACAAGAATCTCAATGAAAGCATGCTAAATAAGTGGGTAATTAACATATCTAAAAAAAAAACAGCTAAAAGATGGCAACAAAACACTACTAGCTAAGGGTTTGAATTATACCATCATCTCAGACGAAATTTCGGTTGATGATTTTATTATAGTCACAGAACGAGCATGTAGGAACTTGAGTTAGACTAAGATCACAAATTACGAGTGTCTTAAAATCTACAAAATTACCAGTAAACAACATATCCCAGGAAGAATGCATTGCAGGTAACCTAGTGTCTCCAATAGTGGCCAACTTATTCATGGAACGCTTGGAGAAAGAGGCTATAGCCACATTCCTCTTAGAATGCAATCCCAGTCTGTCGCATTTATTGGCATATGCCAAAAAAAAGAATGCTCCAAGTTAATCTGAAAAAATTAATTTGAATTTACCTTTTTGCGCACCATTCGCAATAAATGAAAACAAAAACAAAAATAGCATGAAAAATTTCCAAAATAGCAGAAAAACTGCAAAACAAAGTTTCTTAATTTTGCAATTTTCCGCATCTATGGACACATAACCAAATAGGAAAAGAATTCTTAAAATCAATTGATAGTGCTTCAAACGGTTTTAAAAACACCACGTGGCATGAAAAACGCCAAAAATAGCAGAAAAAAATGCAAAAATGAGCAAACATTTAAGTTTTAAAATGTTACGCATCTATGGGCATATGCACAAACAGACTGCTATAAATTAATCGAAAATGCTTCAAACTGTTTTAAACTGGTTTTTTTTTTTAACTCAATAATACATGAAGAACACCAAAAATAGCAAAAATAGAAAAACTGCGAAAATTATCATATTTCTGAATTTTTCAATTTTACGTACCTATTAGCAAATGCTCAAGAATGAAAAAGAATGCTTCATGTTGATGGCGACTCCTTCCAACGAATTTTAAAACACACTAAAAATAGCTGAAAATAAACTGGAAAAATTAGCCTAATCTGAATTTACCAATTTACACAAAAAACATATCACATAAAACAACTAAAATAGCAGGAAATCTGCAAAAATTACTGAATTTCCCAATTTTGCGCATCTATTGGCAAATACGAAAAAATAATGCTTCAGGTTAACAAAAAAACATTCAAACTGTTTTTAAATCACCATAATAAATGAAAACACCAAAATAGCTGAAAAATTTCAAAAAAAAATCACGTTTTTTAATTTTGCAATTTTCCGCATATATGGACACATAACCAAAAAGAAAAAAGATCTTCACATCAATTGATAGTGCTTCAAACGGTTTTAAAAACACTATGTTGCATGAAAAACGCCAAAAATAGCAGAAAATATGTAAAAATGAGCAAACATTTAAGTTTTAAAATGTTACGCATCTATGGGCATATGCACAAACAGACTGCTATAAATCAATTAAACTGATTTAAAATAGAGCTTCAAATTTTTTAAATCTATGGGTTTTTTTCAAATATCTTTTAAACTGGTTTTTTAATAATAATAAAGCATGAAGAACACCAAAAATAGCAGAAAAACTGAGAAAATTATCATATTTCTGAATTTTGCAATTTTACGTACCTATTAGCAAATGCTCAAGAATGAAAAAGAATGCTTCATGTTGATGGCAAATCCTTCAAACGAATTTTAAAACACACTAAAAATAGCTGAAAAAAAAACTGGAAAAATTAGCCTAATCTGAATTTACCAATTTGCACAAAAAAGCACAAGAATGCTTCAACTTCATGGAAAATCTTCATACGGTTTTAAACATATCACATAAAACAACTAAAATAGCAGGAAATCTGCAAAAATTACCAAATTTCTGAATTTCCCAATTTTGCGCATCTATTGGCATATGCGAAAAAAAAAGAATAATAAGCTAAAATTTTACGCATCTATGGACACATGCGAAAAAAAAAAACATCAAACTGTTTTTAAAACACCATAATAAATGAAAACACCAAAATAGCTGAAAAATTTGCAAAAACAATCACGTTTTTTAATTTTGCAATTTTCCGCATATATGGACACATAACCAAAAAGAAAAAAGATCTTCACATCAATTGATAGTGCTTCAAACGGTTTTAAAAACACTATGTTGCATGAAAAACGCCAAAAATAGCAGAAAATATGTAAAAATGAGCAAACATTTAAGTTTTAAAATGTTACGCATCTATGGGCATATGCACAAACAGACTGCTATAAATTAATCGAAAATGCTTCAAACCGTTTTAAACTGGGTTTTTTTTAACGCAATAATACATGAAGAACACCAAAAATAGCAGCAAAACTGCGAAAATTATCATATTTCTGAATTTTTCAATTTTACGTACCTATTAGCAAATGCTCAAGCAAATGCTCAAGAATAGAATGCATCATGTTGATGGCGACTCCTTCCAACGAATTTTAAAACACACTAAAAATAGCTGAAAATAAACTGGAAAAATTAGCCTAATCTGAATTTACCAATTTACACAAAAAACATATCACATAAAACAACTAAAATAGCAGGAAATCTGCAAAAATTACTGAATTTCCCAATTTTGCGCATCTATTGGCAAATACGAAAAAAAAGAATGCTTCAGGTTAACAGAAAAACATTCAAACTGTTTTTAAAACACCATAATAAATGAAAACACCAAAATAGCTGAAAAATTTCCAAAAAAAATCACGTTTTTTAATTTTGCAATTTTCCGCATATATGGACACATAACCAAAAAGAAAAAAGATCTTCACATCAGTTGATAGTGCTTCAAACGGTTTTAAAAACACCATGTTGCATGAAAAACGCCAAAAATAGCAGAAAATATGCAAAAATGAGCAAACATTTAAGTTTTAAAATGTTACGCATCTATGGGCATATGCACAAACAGACTGCTATAAATTAATCGAAAATGCTTCAAACTGTTTTAAACTGGGTTTTTTTAACTCAATAATACATGAAGAACACCAAAAATAGAAAAACTGCGAAAATTATCATATTTCTGAATTTTTCAATTTTACGTACCTATTAGCAAATGCTCAAGAATGAAAAAGAATGCTTCATGTTGATGGCGAATCCTTCCAACGAATTTTAAAACACACTAAAAATAGCTGAAAATAAACTGGAAAAATTAGCCTAATCTGAATTTACCAATTTACACAAAAAACATATCACATAAAACAACTAAAATAGCAGGAAATCTGCAAAAATTACTGAATTTCCCAATTTTGCGCATCTATTGGCAAATACGAAAAAATAAATGCTTCAGGTTAACAAAAAAAACATTCAAACTGTTTTTAAAACACCATAATAAATGAAAACACCAAAATAGCTGAAAAATTTGCAAAAAACAAGCACGTTTTTTAATTTTGCAATTTTCCGCATATATGGACACATAACCAAAAAGAAAAAAGATCTTCACATCAATTGATAGTGCTTCAAACGGTTTTTAAAACACCATGTTGCATGAAAAACGCCAAAAATATGCAAAAATAAGCATGCTTTTAAGTTTTAAAATGTTACGCATCTATGGACACATGCGCAAAAAGAATGCATCATATTAATGGAAAATCCTTCAAATTGATTTAAAAACATCATAATCAAAAAACAAACAAAAATAGCAGAAAAACTGCAAAAATTATCATGTTTCTTAATTTTGCAATTTTCCGCATCTATGGGTACATAATAAAAAGGGGAAAAGAATTCTTCAAATACACTGATATTGCTTCAAACGGTTTTAAAAACGCCAAAAATAGCAGAAAAAATGCAAAAATGAGCAAAATTAAGCATGCTTTTAAGTTTTAAAATTTTACGCATCTATGGACACATGCGCAAAAAGAATGCATCATATTAATGGAAAATCCTTCAAATTGATTTTAAAACATCAATCAAAAAACAAACAAAAATAGCAGAAAAACTGCAAAAATTATCATGTTTCTTAATTTTGCAATTTTCCGCATCTATGGGTACATAATAAAAAGGGGAAAAGAATTCTTCAAATATACTTATATTGCTTCAAACGGTTTTAAAAGCACCATGTTGCATGAAAAACGCCAAAAATAGCAGAAAATATGTAAAAATGAGCAAACATTTAAGTTTTAAAATGTTACGCATCTATGGGCATATGCACAAACAGACTGCTATAAATTAATCGAAAATGCTTCAAACCGTTTTAAACTGGGTTTTTTTTAACGCAATAATACATGAAGAACACCAAAAATAGCAGCAAAACTGCGAAAATTATCATATTTCTGAATTTTTCAATTTTAC